GGGAGGGTAACAGTGAGAAAACTCGTGGGTTGATATAAACAGTTTAAAGGTAAAGCAAAAGCTGCACACACAAGCAAATGAAAATAAGGAATTCATTCACCCCTTCTCATGATCAGGCAGGTGTTCAGCCATCCCCAGGAAAGCTGAGCCCATAAAATGGCAATTGCATGTCCACAGTTTGCCTTTATGATGCTTAACAGAACACAAGTAATTTCTGAAATTTCTGCCTTGGCTGTTATCCATCTTAGGTTTTTTTTTTGCATCTCTCTCTCTCTCTCTCTCTCTCTCCTTAAAGTTTCAGCATCTACCAGTTTTTGACTAGTGACCTTGGCTATCCTCAGAGAGACTATAGCTCTGTAGGGTCCTCCCTCTGACAGAGATCTCCATGACTATTTGGTTGAATTATTTGTTAGAGGTCATTTACAGGCCACAAGTTAAACCAAGAAAACTCAGGATTGCTTCTGATGGACTACAAAACACATTCTTAGTCAGAGTTTTTATTGTAAGTAAAAATGTAAGCAAAATCAAGGAGAAGGGAGGGTTTGCTTACAGAATGAGCTAAGTATACAGGATTTTCTGCCCACTCCAAGCGTGTTCCAGTAGTATATGTGATGTAAACAGGAAAAAATAAAAATAGTGTCAAAAATGATAGAAGCAATAGTCATGTTATTAGGAAATTGCATCTATTGTAAAATATGTGAAGAATTAGAAGTTTGAATTAGAATTTTAAGACAGGCTGAAGAAGTTGAGGCTGTTCAGCCTGGAGACCTCATAGTAGCCTATCAGTATCTGAAGGGCCTACAAGGGAGCCAGAGAGGGACTCTTTGTTATGAACTGCAGTGACAGGACAAGGGCTAATGAATTCAAATTGAAAGAAGGGAAATTTATGCTAGATATTAGGAAAATGTTTTTTACTGTAGGCTGGTGAGACACTGGCACAGGTTACCCAGGGAAATAGTGGATGCCCCAACCCTGGCAGTGTTCACAGCCAGGCTGGATGAAGCCTTGAGCAACCTGATCTAGTGAGGAGGTGTCCCTGCCCATGGCAGGGGTAGTTGGGACTAGATGGTCTGAAAGGTCCATTCCAAACCCTAAAATTATATGATTCTATGATAAGTTGCAAAGAAGAGAATGAGCATTTTGTTAGAACTGGATGTTCTATTTCAAAGAAAAAGTATGATACTGAGTATCTTGGGTTTTTTAGGATTGTTTAGAAAAAGGTCACAAACTGTATACTGGTGCAGTTCCAGGGCACCTGATAAAAGCTTTGTGTACTTAGAGACTTAATAATGATACTGAGGCACAGTTGTTTCCATAGTGGCATTACCAAAACTCATTATCATAGTTACATCTCAGGCATCACTGGCAGACACATTGATTTTACTAAATCTGCTTTGTACATAGATAATTTCTTACTTTCAGATGTTATGCAAAAATTACATAATTGGGTTTTGTGTAGCATTTGTCTGTAGTGAGTCATTTAGGCAAACACATCACTGAAATAGGAGGTAAAGTAATGGCTTTAGCCTGCGTGTGGTCTAAGCCCTATGACAGAAACCTTGATGGGGTTTTCAGAGAAAGCAAGGCATTGCAATTTCATCTTCATGAATGCATTTGTAGCTTAAAAGGAGCTTAACCTTTAAGCCTCACTAACAATTTACTTGGAAACAGCAACACATTGCAGGTGGTTTTCTATCAGTCTAGTCTGGGTTATCTGCAACCCTCCTTCCCTGCATATTGCTGCTAGTAGTAATCCCATTAGATGATTACAGCTGGTGTTCTCAACAGACAGATTTAGTCATAATTGAAAAAGAACTTCAAGCGGGTTTAATTAACTGTGTGGTCATTTTGTTACCAGAGACTCTTCTACCCTATAGCTTTGCCTTAAGTGAAGCGAATTTATGGCCTGGTAGGAGGTGCTAGTCTGCAATTGTGAACGTAATTGTCTTTTATTTAGTCAAAACTACAAAAATCAAGGGTTGAGCATTTTCATATTCATGAATCCTTAATGCAGCTGTGCTAAATGTCAATGAAATACCTGATTATGAGCCTGCAGCTGAGTCATTTAAGGAAAGTGGTCTGTGAGCTGGTGAGCAGCAGCTAGCTCTTCCTAGGCTTGTTTTGTTTAGCTCAATAGAAGAGAAATGTGTGGCAAGCTTTTGCTTCCAATGTGGCTTATTGCTTGGGGCTGAATAGCTGTTATGATCCCAGGAGTGGGAAGTCTTTATCCTTGCACAAAATTGCACCAATTCGTTTCTCAGTAGCAGGCAGAATTGGCCTTTAGCAGGGAAATATTTTCCTACAACTTTCCAATCTTTTTGGCTAACGGTATTTATCTTTGGTTAGTGGTCTGTGACTACGTACAATTTATTTCTCTGTTTTAATTGGAGGAGAGGGAAAACTGTTGAGGGAATTAAGTTGACTTGGATATCCATGCAGATGGATACTTTTCACTTCGTGAGAAGTTTTGAAACTTTATCTTCCTGTAGACCTGTCTTTGGAATGGATCTGAGGAACTGAAAATACTGCAGTGTGTTCAGCAAGAGTGGGTCTAGATTTGTCCAAGTGAATAAACTCTGCAAATGTGGATGGAAGTTCCTACATAGTAACTGAGCCCGTGTGCTCTCCTTGAGGTGGGGAAAGCAGGGGAGAGGTGTCCATTACGAATGTAGCTGTGTTTTAAATCCTTCAGTGTCTTGTTAAATGCAAACTGCACATATTCACAGCCACTCTAGCAGAGGTGTGTTGTGATCTCCAGCCTCCACAGTTCAAAATACACAGAATATTAGTGCTGTGCTAACTTCTACTGCACAGTGAAGTCTGGTGCACTAGCAAGACAATAGCACTATATTTGTAGGCTGTGTTGGCCAGAATGAGGAGTTCTACACATTTCTTCAGTTTGGTGTTTGCTGTAATCCTTGCACGTTCAGACCTAGTACACTGGTAACACGGGGGACCCTGTGGTGTTAGAACCTGGGGAACAGGTACTGTTTCTGAATAGCATACAGAGGGGAAAAAAGCTGATAACTGTGACATCTGCTTAGCTAACTCTAACTGCTAACTCTTTAAATAAGTTGCTGATTCAGTGCTGGCTAAAAGAAATAGAACTACTTTTGGCTGAAATGTAAGGATCTGAAGGGAAAATACAGATTCACAGAAGGATCATACAGTGGAATCTTTTAGTTGAGAAAGTTTCACTACATCCACAAAATGGTCAGAAAGAACATGTGAAAACTTGATATTGGGCTGTTTCTTCTAAAATGAGGCAGGTTCAAAAGAAAAGCACAGAAGTGACCTTCAGCTGCAGTGTATAAATACAAGTCTACTTCCTAGGAAAGGAAGATAACATTAAAATGTTGTGTCGGGACAAAGTTGTAAAGTGCAGTCTTTAAATGCACACTAAGCTGATGCACATGAAATGCTGAGCTGTATCTTGATCTCTGTATTGGTGAAGTTTCCCTGTTAATCCCTGAAGCATGGAGAAAGCTGCCACTGAAGATATGCTGATTTTTAACATTTTGCCATCATTGTATTACCTAAGTCAAGTCTCATTTAATGTTGTTGCCTGAAGAGTCCTTAAATGTGTGATTTAAAAACTGTATTTTCCTGGATGGAAAGGGTCTTTTCTCACTTGAGAGTTGCAACATCTGCCCAAAAAGGCAAGATGGTTAAGATGTCGTGTATGAAAGACAAATGAGGTGTGTTCTGCACAAAGTTGAAATCATAGAATCATAGAATCATCAAGGTTGGAGGAAACCTTTAAGATCATTTAGTCTAACCATTGACCTGCCACTTTGCTGGAACCCCTAAACCCTAAACCAGATCCTCCAGTGTCAGATCCAGATGCCTCTTAAACATTTCCAGGGATGGTGACTTCACCACCTCCCTGGGCAACCTATTCCAGTGACTAACTACTCTATCAGGGAAAAAATGTTTCCTAACATCTACTCTGAATGTCCCCTGTCTCAGCTTGTGACCATTCCCTCTAGTCCTCTCCCTGCAGCCACGGCAGGAGAGACATCCCCCACCTCTCTACAACCCCCTGTCAGGTAGTTGTAGAGAGCCATGAGGTCACCCCTGAGCTGCCTCTTCTCAAGGCTAAACAAACCCAATTCCCTCAGCCCTTCCCCATAGGACATGTTTTCTAGGCTTTTATCTGCCATGTATTGCACTTGGCATTGTTTCTTCCTTAGGACCTTCTGTATGCCTATGGTTGAGGCTGCAGAGAAGAGGAGGTGACTGTGACAGCCAGGTGGAAAATGTAGAATGTTTTGCCATCCCTCAGCATCCTGCTCTGCCAAAACATGGCAAAGCACAAGTAGGACACCCCTGCTGTGGTGCTGCTGTCAGACAGGTATTGCTTTCTAAACTGGTATGAGGATGGACCTCAAACTACAGAAAGGTAACAAGAGTAGATTTAATTTCTTGTAGGCTTCACCAGAGTGATCATTGTCAGAGCAAACTAGTCCCAGCAACAAAGCAGCACAATAAACGGACTCTTACATATTCTCTTTGGACTCGCTGCTACTGCACTTAGGGATAGGGTGTACCCTACTGCTGGACTCAGGGTCCTCTGAACTGTGTTCATCACGGTATGTTTCAAGTCCCAATTAAGACTCCACTTTAGTTTATGAACTCTGGTGCATCTCTGTGAGTTCAGGTTCTTGATGCTCTTCTATACTGGTTTCTGTTTTGCTTATTACAAGCTTTCAGGTGCTTCTGAGGTACCAGTGCGTTAACTGATTGATGAATTGACAATACAAGCTTTAATCCACACTGCTTCTTTAGCCTTATGCTTGACGATGGAAGATCCAAAGAAACGGCTGAATCTGGTAGAAAGATCCATCAAAGCCAGGTAGCTCAGCTAACATGTTTTGTAAGCAGTGTGTTTCTCAGACACAATAAGATTAAGTGGATCAGCTGGTGTGTGCTGTGCCTGTTGGAAAGAAGCTTATTTAAATTGAGAGGGCCAGGGAATCTGTGTCTCAGTCCAGAAAGAAGATGGGTTCCACAGAAGACCTTGACTATCCTCAAATCATCGTGCAATACAGCAGTGGATTTTTAGTCTCAAAGGTAAGAAATACAACTCGGTCTTAGAAAGAGTATGCAGACAGAAGTATTTAAGGATCTCACTCTTGGTCGTGAATGTGAGCCTGGAAGAGGTGAAAGAAGGAGACTGGTATAACGACTTACCCGGGGAGGTGGTGGATTCACCATCCCTGGAGGTTTTCAAGACGAGACTGGATGTGGCACTTAGTGCCATGGTCTAGTAACCATGGTAGGGTTGGACTCGATGATCTTTGAGGTCTCTTCCAACCAGATTCAATCTATTATTCTATGATTCTAACTTTTTCCGAACAACATTTTATTAAAACAAAAATGTAGAACTACTAATTCCACTTTCTTTATTGGTTACTGATGTTATTTGCCCTGTGTGTAAGCACATGGGCATAAAATTATGGTATTCATTACAATTGAGATTTTTTTCCTCATTTATTATTTAGTTACCTTTCCTGTTGTCTCATGCTGTACCTCTGGCCGACACAGGAACGGGAGGAATGCTCTTTGAGTTTTGCTAAAACTGCAGCATCCTAAGGTTCCTGAAAGCCTCTTTAACTGACAGTAAAGGGACGAAAAATAGATAAAAATCACTTGGCTTTGTGTGAAAGAGGAGTGCCCAATGCTTTCCAAATTAACACTGGTACCATGTTTTTGAGAAATTATCTCTACTTAGGATAACCCATGTTCTTACTCGGCATAAAGTGAGCTTCATTGCACAGGAATCATTGTAGATCAAATCACTGTACATGAATGCAGTCAATGGCATTGATGCCTTTGTTACTGTTTCAGGAATTTTTGTGTGACCAGAGAATTAGGATAATCCTTATAAATTTGACTGTGTACACCTAAAGGATATTTTTCTTATGTATGGTTAGCTATGTCTGTCTGAAGGTTGAAGGCTGTTGCTGGAGATGTTACACAATTTCTCTATGCAAAGACAGGGTGATTCTGCTGGCCTGAAGGAGGCAATTCTTTCTGCTGAGAGGAAACTCCTTGCTTCTGGGAGATCACTACAGTCATTCACATCAGTCCTTGAAAATCGGGTCCAGAGTGGGATATTCCCTCTATTGCAAGCCATAGGAGTCTCCAGGGTTCACTGAAGCATACGTTAGATCCTTAGTTAAAGAACAAAACCATAAATAGCTAAAGCCCCAACAGCACACAGTCTTGCCTTTGTTCTTTTTGGGCAAGCAAGAGCCTGTGAAGATGTGCTCTGAAATTAGGGAAGAGGCAGGAATATTCACACCCAAAGCCTGGTCTCTATATGTGAAATTTTGTGAGTCCAAAACATTGGCTGACTTCACCATCAAAGGGGAAAAAATGGACAAATGGTGCATTGCAAGCATTGTATGTTATATCATATAGCAATATATATATATGTGTGTGTATATATATATACAGAGTTATGTCTGATATAGCTTCAGATAAACATAATTTTAACAATTGGACTTGTTTATATGAAGTACAGATTTACATGGAAAATATATCATTATGTGTATATTTCCTCCAATAAAACAACTTTAGAAATGCAACAGACACTTCACCTGATCCCTCAGTGCCACCTTTCCTTATCCCCAGGTTATGTTCACTGCCTGTGAGTTGGGGGTGTTTGATCTTCTGCTGGAGTCAGGAGAGCCTCTGTCTTCAGATGCTATTGCCGCACACTTGGGTACCAGCACCACGGGGATGGAAAGACTGCTGGATGCCTGTGTGGGATTGAAGCTCTTGGCAGTAGAGATGACACAAGAAGGAGGTAATAAAGGCAGAGGAAGGGGAATAAACCTCTGATGGTTTTGAAAATGAGGCAAGGTGTTTGGGCAAAGGTGATACCTAACCTTTGGTCAGTTAATGTAGCTGGAAGAAGGAGAGAATCACTTGGGATTCATTCTTCAGCTGAAAGAGAAGCAGCAAATGTCAGTGTGATCACCAGTGTAAAGTCAAGTGCCGATGAAGGGCTCTATATCCCTAAACAACTTTGTGCAAGAGCCTTAGGTGACCTTGGAGAGCATATTCAGGGTCTCTACAGAGCTGGTCCCAAGAAATCTCTGAGGTGTGGGTATGTTTTTGAACCTTAAAACAGCATGCCAAGGTGGATGTGCAATAACATGATTTAAAAACAGATTTTGTTTTTCTTTGGGGTTTTGCCATCACATGAACTATTTTATTAGGGTGCTGCTCAGAACTGAGATGTGATTTAAGTTTGTCCTTGCATCAGAAATATTGTGTCCACTTGGACAGAAGGGATCTCTGGCCGTCAGACAGCTGGTCAGGACTAGCCAGAGTCTTTCAAGTTATGTCCCCTGCTCTGGCTTGTGTTGCCATGCTCTGTTTTAGGGCTTGTAGCTGTTGCCCAATGAGTTTAGGTAGAACAGGATCAATTTTTTATATTCCTTTTGCATGCCAGTCCCATGAATGAGTGATACCACTGCAGATGCATTGGAGAAAGCAGGGAAGGTTTTTGTGAGTCCTTTAGGCATTTTTCTGTCTGCAGAAGGTCCTGTCCTAGTGAACTGAGAGAGGGTAGGTGTGGTTGGCATGCTTCATTGGGGACTTGTCTCCCACTTGCTGACCTTGTTGATCAGGAAGAAAGACCTGTCTGCAAGGACTTTTCATGTTACTAGGGCACACTGAAAGCTTCCTCTGAAAGCAGAATCCTGTGGGTAAATGATGACACTTGTAAGGCATTCTTTTTGCTCTTCTTGAAAGAAATGTTTGGTGCTGAAGTTAAGCATAGGGAGACAGTGTTTACACAGTTTGAATGGGGCAACACAGGCCTCAGCAGCCCCTACCCACTGTTCATTGCAGAGGAAGGATTTGATTACAGAAGTAATGTTGTGGTGTCTTTGGCTATATAGGCATCTTCTGGTGATAAATGCCATACTGTACAATAAACTTGGCAAGGTGGTGTGTCATACATGTTGGTAAATATATTTATTTCACCCTTTAGCCCTCTACAAAAACACAGGCATTTCCGACATCTACCTTACAAAATCAAGTCCAAAGTCTCAGTATCACAGTATGATGTATTACTCCAATACAGTCTACTTGTGCTGGCACTACCTGGCTGATGCTGTGAGGTAAGGAGGAATGTTGTGTGCTGTCTGTTGCAGCATCTGTGTGCCTGCTCTGAGAGGTGTGTTTCTGGGCAAGGTCTCAAAGAAGATGCTGGCTGGTTCTCCAGAATTAAAAGCAACAAATCATTTCAGCTGTTAATGTGTCCAATATGTGCTCTCCCCCCACGCCCCCCCTTTTTCCCCATTTCTGTATGTTCTTGTTTTCCTTTTCTCTCTGATTATAGAGATGATCTAGAAATCAAATTCTGTATGTTTCACCTTCAGGAAAGCACTTTATCATTGCAGTGGCTCTTACTTGAGGAGGCATCAACAAAGTAAATGATGAGTAATGATGGCTAAGGAGACTTCTGTTCCAAAGGTTTGTAGGAGCAGTTTAATACAGGGCTGGAGTCTCACTTGTTCCAGTCCATGCAACTGGCGATCAAACATGGTGTGTATGATGGTGATGACTGCACCAATCTTGTACTTTTACCTGAGGTGTGATCTCATAAATCACAGAATCATAGAATAGTTTGGGTTGAAAGAGACTTTAAAGATCCTCTAGTTCCAACTTTCCTACCATAGGCAGGGATGGCACCCACTAGATCAGGTTATTCAAAACCCCATCCCAACCTGACCTTGAAAAGAACTAGTCATTCTTCTGAAGGGTTGAGAAATGTATCAGCACATTTTGGGGTGGCAAGTGAGAATGCCTCTATAGCCATTGCAAACAGACTGATATAAATTCTGTATAAAGTTGAACACCTTCTACACTGATGCTATAGCTGAAACTGCAGCCCTGAGGTGTGTTTGGGGCAAAAGAAATCCACACTCATATGCTTTTTTTGGTTGCTGCTTTAGAGAAGGAAGAAACCAATATGAAAGAGCTTTTGGCATTTCATCTAAAGACCCTTTTGGAGCAATGTACAGGTAATAGTAAGCGTATTTATAGAAATTTTATGCTTCTTATTGTACATAAAACTAATGTTTTTAATTATGACCGAGGTGTGATGACCCACCCTAAAGTGAGGGCAATTAAATATGATGATGTGAGAATCCCTCTCATCAGAAGCATCATGCAAGGTTTTTCTTTCTCAACATCAATTTCTGGGACACTGTACGATATCTTTAATAGAAGTATATCATTTCCTAATCTGAAAAACATATCACTGATCTCTGACAGAGGCAATGGTAGTTGAAGGAAAAAAAATCCCTTGGAAGCCTGAGAATTAGAAACATAATACCCTGTTGGATTTCACTAGTCTTAATTCCTGATTTAAATGCAGGAATTCATAGCTCTACCCTCCTGCTACAGTAATACTCCAGGTAGGTTTATATGCAAAGAGAACATATTCTGTGTCAATCAGAACAGAGACTAGTGTTCAAGCTAAAACATGTGATAGCAGTTATATGATAGGAACCACCAAGGATGTGCTAAGTAACCTTCTTTATGTGATATGTCTGTTTGCATTACCAGATCAGAAGAAGAAATGCTGAAATTCATGGCTGGTCAGAACTCAGTATGGAGTATATGTGGCAGAGATGTTCTCGCTGCATTTGACCTTTCCCCTTTCACGCAGATCTATGACCTGGGAGGTGAGTGTCAGTAAACTTCTTTAATAAGCCTCTGAACTGTCTTTTGCAAGCTCTGAAAAGAAAAATAACTCTTATTTTATATGATGGGCAAAACAATGGAAAGCAGGATATGTCTCAGCAATAAAAGGAGCATTTTGCTGATGTGATTGTATTAAAAACAGGATTGTGAGAGTGATGAGAGCATTAGGTAGCTGAATGCTTTTCTCTACAGTCTCACTTATGTGAGTAGTCGCTTATCCCCTTGTGTATGTGGCAGCTTTGGCATTTTGTCATGCCTTGCTTGATACCTTCTTCCAGTGCCAGACCTTCTCCCTTTCAGTCACTGTCATTGAGATACTGCCTGCAGCCTCTTATCCTGCAGCACCCTGCTGTCCTAGCACTGCTGAGTCCTGCCAGGATTCATGGGGTGGGTCAGGCTCTCTCATGGGCTTCATCACTGCTTCCCCATTGCCTGGTTTAGTGACTTTGTTTTTCATTTTTCACCTTCCAGCACCCACAGCAGGGGTGTGTGTAAGAGCTGTAGGGGCTGGGGCTGACCCAACAGGCTTGGGTGCTGAGGGTCTGTCCCTGCAGAACAAACGGAGCCTGTGGCCTCTGCTGTCCCTTCTCTTCGCTTTTAGCAACACAAGGGGAACAAATGTACCTTGTCAGCTTCCATAAGGCTGAATGCACCATTGCCTGCATGTTTTCATAGGGGTGTTGCTGAACAGGTTGGTTTTGTGTTAGCTGACCATCTTTTGCTCTCCCCAAAGGAGGTGGAGGAGCTTTGGCCCGAGAGTGTGTTTCTTTGTACCCAAATGCCACGGTCACAATTTATGACCTGCCGAAAGTTGTGCAAGTGGCCAAAGAGCAATTTGTTTTCCCTGGAGAGCATCAGATCACTTTCCATGAAGGTAGGTGCAGACAGTGGTGTGGTGTTGTCACAGCCATTGCTCCTGAGCCCCTTGACTCTACTCAGAGGTATCATACTGGAGGCTCAGGTCTCCTGCTGCCCCTTATGGGGGCAGAGTGTCCCAGGCTGCAGCCTCTCCAGCACAGGTCTACAGCTGTCCCTGTTGTGCATGTGCAGCTTTCAGAGATACATTTCAGCTATTCAGCAGCACAGAAATGCTTATTCCTGAACAGAACTGTTTGATTTCTTCAGAACAAGGGTACATAAACAAAAAAAAGCATCCTGCAGTTTTGAAATCTGCCATGCCATGTTATAAATCTTCCTAACACTCCTCTTTTCTCCTATGCAAACCTCCTGGCAAATGTCAGGGATTCCAGGCCTGCTCTGGGCAAGGGGTTTTTCTTCTCTGGTTATAATTCATTGACTTTCAAGTCCTAAGATATTTCAGACTATGAAAGTGGGTGAGCTAGCTCATGTTCCTCTTGCCCAGTCCATTGATCTTGCATAGTCCTTGTACCATCTGTGATGAAAATGAGTGTAGGGAGTTCTAATTTTTAATGTTTACAAAAACCTTCAAAGTGTTGGAATGACTGAATATTACCTGAAGCTCAGAGAGAGAAAAGAAGCCTTGAGGAGGGAAGGGAGTATATAAAAATAAAGATGTAGAAACAGGAAATATTGTGTACTGGTGATGCAAAGAACAGGGAGAGAAATGACAAGGTAAAATGCTGTGAGAAAAATCTGAATGCAGTATACCAGGTGCTAAACAAAAGGCATGATGATGAAGCTAGTGCTAGGAGGTGAGAGATGTGTATTTTTACTTACTGATTTATGAACTAACTGTGATTAGTGAGGGTCTTGAAAAATTTTCTTAGATAAGGGATATACTTTCCTTTTTTTTTTTCCTGACAAAAACCGTGAGAACCTGTCTCTTTAGTACTTTATGAATCTGAATTTCTGTCATTGGAGAAAACTCAAACACTTTCTTGTGCATCAAAGGCTCTTTCAGATCAGCTCCTGCTTTTAAATGTTTCAGACTGTCTTGACACTGAAGAAGAAAAAATTCCCCATGCAATGTGACTGAGAACCTTTATGTGGTATCTCTCTTGCTGTCCAGTGGGTGTGATGGACATGGCAAACCCAGAACTGGAGCAAATTGAAAATATTTGCTTAACTCAGTTCTCTGTTTTGGGGGTTTGTGTAACTCATGTATTCTTGCTTTACAGGAGACTTCTTTAGTGATTCCATTCCAGAAGCTGAACTGTACATTTTATCCAAGATACTGCATGATTGGGATGATGACAAATGCAAACAACTGCTGGTAAAAGTCTACAAAGCTTGCAAACCTGGTAGGTGTGGGCTCTTGAGAAGCAGAGACTCTCACCTATCAGTCATGTGAAACACAGTGGTCTTGGTGCTCAATTTGGGTGGCAGAGTTTCTGTGTAGGTGTTTTTTGGTTTAGTCTTCTGCTTTCCTAAGCCAGCCATGTGCAGCTGAGCCAAATAGGGATTGTTCTAAGATCTCTTGTCTTGCTTCCAGGTTTTTTTCTCCTTCTCTACAGGGGCTCCTCTTTCAAGGCATTTAGGTGTAAGGATTGAAGATTTTGGGTATTGTTTAGATAGGTGTATGTGCCATAGTAAAATTCCCATTAAGCATCACAATGAACCCTCAGAGCTTTGAAAACACTGCCTACAGTGCCAGGTTCTCAGCAAAATCAGTAAGCTGCTGTGGATTTCAGCTGAGGAAAAGGGGAAATTTCCATCCCAGCCATAGAATCCCCGTCAGCCCTGGGACATCAGTACTTACATAGCCAAGCAGAGGCATGCTCTGATGTTTTTGCTCTTTCATTGTTTTCTGTGATGCTGAAATATAACTGAACCTAGAGGCTGTTTCTTCCTGAAACTGAAGGTTAGGATCTGTCCTAGTAACAGCTCAGAAATAGCTCAACTTCTCAGCACTCAGCATGTTTTATCTCTCTTCATTCAACCAGGCGGTGGAGTGCTGCTGGTTGAATCACTTCTGAATGAAGATAAAAGTGGGCCTTTAGAAACCCAACTGTATTCAATGAATATGTTGGTCCAGACAGAAGGAAAAGAGCAAACAGCAGCAGAGTACAGCAAGCTCCTCAAGGCAGCTGGCTTTGGAGTGATTCAAGTCAAGAGGACAGGAAAACTCTATGATGCTGTTTTAGGAAGGAAATAACAGGACCTCTTTTATGTACCTAACAAGACAGAAAAAGTGCAGAAATGTGCTATTCTCTTCTGAGAGAGGAATCATCAGCTTAGCTTTTAGTTAAGGCAGACAACTTTTTTGTCAGAAGAATCACTAATGATAGATCTTAAATATGCATTTATTGCAAGTCTGACAGCCTAACTAGGACTTGCCTTTGGATTTGGAAGGCAGAGAAAGAAATCAACACCTGTTCCACAAGAAGCAATCCACAAAAGAAATGTTCAGTGTGTCTGGTACAGATTTTATCATTCTTTCTGATATTAACACTGTATCTGACAAGAGCAAAGCTGAATTTGTACTTTAATTCCTGCAAAATAAAACCAATCCTTGTACTCAGCTCTCTTACCTGAATTTTTTTTCCTGAAGAACTGATATGGTATAAGCAGACCAAATTATGTCTCCTTGTGGTTAGTTTTTTCACAATTCCAGGAGAAATCCTATCTGAGCCTTGGGGAAATTGGCATGAAAAAATTATATTAACTTCTTATTTCTTCTAGACTTTGATTTAAGCTATGAAAAAGAATTTGGTAGCTTAGTGATTAGATGAAGCCCTGGACTTCAGCTTACAGGGCAGGGAGGAGAATGATGCAGCCAAGTCATTCTGTTATGCACTGGTGAAGTCCTTCCTGCATGCCTCCTGCCATTTCTTTAACTCATTTGATAAAGCACAGCCTGCCATTACTCATCCAGTTCTTGGAAGCAGAATTACAGATTACTGAAGTGAGAAATATTTGGAGAAGGCACCAGAAAATCACTTTTTGCAGTTGTTTCTTGAACAGTGATTGCATTTGCCCATTAAGCTGGATGCTAGAGGAGCTTGAGGTAGTTTTCTCAGTAGCCATCTACAGCAGCTCCCACTCCTATGACTGTAGGAGGAAGATAGAAAATAGCCACAGTACACACATCTGTGCAGACACAAAGCTTCAATCTCATCACCGTTACAGAGATGATAGGACAGTTTGCATGATTGGAATGTTGGGGGGTTTTGTTGTTTTTGGTTTCATTGTTTGTCTGTTTTCCTTCTAAATAACAAACACTGTGAAGACAACCTGGAACAAGTGCTTTGCTGCATGCAGGCTAATTAAAACCCTGTTTGTTCTATGGTTTGCATGTCCCAACAGGCATTTCTGATGGCAAGTTGTTATATATGAGGGCTTTCAGCTGTGTTTCTTGCTTGTCATTGGATATGTTAGCTTTAAAAAAGCTTTTATAGGAAGAAAGTAATAAGGTGGAGGTTTCCAAGTTACTCATGTTTTGGGTGATGGAAGCAGTTCCCAAGCTTGTGCCCTTTCATGGTGCTGCAGGGGGAGGTTTTCTGTTTGATGCAGATGCCTCTTTGTCAACAGAGTTCCATTCTGCCTTTCACAGAGGTTTTAGCCATATAGGCTGAGATACATTTTCTTGCTCCAGTATGACTCAGTAGTAATGAACGAATTCCCCTCATAGCTGGGGGGAATCAGCCAAGAGCAGAAGAAGAATGCAGCAGGCAGGAAACCTAGTCCCTGAACTGAGACTGGCTGTGTCAGGCTCAGCTGAGTGAGGGCAGCTGCTCCTATGGCCACTCTGGGAGGACAGAAACTTCCAGCAGGGCATTGGCCTGATGGCCTGGGAATTCTGTGAAAGAGCATAGGGCAGGAGAAGCTGGGGAATTTGCCTTGTTAGAATTCTGACTGGAAGCTAAAGGCTGCTGCCTTTCACAACGTGCTGGCAGTCATTGGTCATTGATGAAGCACAGCCTTGAGCACTGGGAAAAAGCTGCTTCAGATAAAACAAGCATAAGAAATGGTAACTAAGCAAGAAAAAATCTGGAGGAGCAGAGTAAGGAACTCCTGCTTAGAACAACCACAGCCCAATTGCAGCAGGATCAGGCAGAGGCTGTGGGCTGAGTGCTGCCTAGAAACACCTTGCAAAGGAGATTTCATATGGAGGGGAGAAGAGTGGGAAATTGTCACCATGGGAGCTGTGGATGTAGAAGCTCTGTAGGACAGTGGGAATCAGGGACATGTCCTCAGGCTCACTGCTGGCTCCAAGGTCACTCCACCAGCCTTCTCCTAGAGCCCCTTTGAAGCATCTGGGACCTGTCCACCAGTTGTCTTCAATTGTGTGTGCTGCTATAAGTGTGTGAGTATTTGTCCTCACAAATTCTCCACAGTTCTCCCATCAAATGCTTTAGCCCCTCAAAAAAAAAGCCTTATTACATACTAACTTAGTTTGGGGAAAGTGCAGCATTTTGAAAGAAGCTTCTGGGGAATTCAGGGTTATGGAGAATGTTCTACACCATGTGTGTGGGGCTGAGGTGAGAGAGGGGGTGGAGGTGCCTTCTGGATCTCAGTAAGGAAAGCCTGAAACAAATGGCTTGATAAAATAAGTATCTTAATAAGCCAGAATAAGAAGATAAATATAGACAGCAAGTAAATCTTATGCCCCTTCAGATGCCAGTCTCCCATGTTTGAGCAGCACTGGTGGGACCTCAGTTGGATAATCCCACAGTGCATTGTGCAGACACTGTGTATGGAAGGAAGTGCCTCTTTGTGGGTTGAGTTATTATATTATTTTCTTACAAGAAAAACATCATTCTCACAAGATGCACTGTTAGAGAAAGGCAAGGTCACACAGGGGGTATAATCACTGGCACTGAGTGGGAGCTGCCTGAGCTCATCCTGCTGCTCAGGGGTGTGAGTGGCATAGCACAGACCTAGTGACCACCCTGGACATGCAGCATGGAATTGCACCATTCAGCTTAGCTGTGATCTGAATCACTGACTCCTAAATGTGCAACAGGCTCCTGGTTAGGATCAATGCATTCCACCCCTTGACCCACATGCAGCTTACCTTTCCCAGAGATTTTGTAGGTTACAGATTACATTAATAGCACATGTTTCTCAAACCCTAAGTGCAAGACCCAGTAGAGCAGACACGGCCTGTCCAAGACACTGACTCCCTGAACACAATGTCTTCTGCAAGACTGCCAGTAGGAGCAGCTTCCAGAAGGTCAGCATGTTTCTGAAGAACTAGATGTTCTCACACCTTGCAGCCTCTGAAAGGGTGTAGTATAGGCTTGCCAAAAGCAACTTGATTGTTACAGGATGAAACAAGTTTCTTAAAATAGGAAATATGTCTTTCTGTTACATATTAGTGCAATCAGACTGTCAGGAGCTGACTAACAGCACATAAAACTCAGTATTTCTTTCCAGCATCTCAGGGTGGATTTTGAGAATGACTGAAGATCCATGTTGTTAGAAAGATACATATTGAGTCTTTATCCTGTGCTGTATCTTGTGGCTTTAAAACAGGTAACTCTTTTTTGAAATGGTATAACCTTAAACCAATAAATCTTTGGTGTGATAGATGAAGCAATGGTGGTAGTACACATTGCTGATTTTTTTTTCAGCATTTATAGTACAAAAGGAAGTCTGCAGTTCCAGGCTGTGATATGAATGCTAAGGATGCCATAGTATAACTAAACCTTTCACCTCTTACTGCTTACTAAAAACACTTTAAAATTTTAAATATCTCATATGGAAATGCTGAAATGTTGGTAGGATTTCATTTTTAGTTGGAGACTAGATAATATAATACTACTATGCAAGCACTTCTTGCAGACCTTTAGCTGTCAGAAGTGGTATTCGAAGAGCCTTGGACATCAAAGGAGATTAAAAAGGCAATAAAAGTGGTACCATTCATATGTGTAGGAGTAAATGTTCAGTCTCTGGTGTTACAGCTGCCCAGGGCAAAAATGTCTAACTGATAGGAAGCATTTTGTGTGCAAAGAGGACAGAGAAAGGCTCTTCAGTGGTCCCCTGTGGGAGGACTAGAGGCAATAGACACAAACTGAAACACAGCAGGTTCCCTCTGAACATCAGGAAACACTTTTTTACTGTGGGAGTGATGGAGTACTGGCATAGGCTACCTGGAGAGGTGGTAGAGCCTACCACCTCAATAATATTCAAAGTCTGTCTAGACATGGTCCTGAGCAACCAGCTCTAGGTAGACCTGCTTGAGCAAGGGGACTGGACCAGATGACCTTTAGAGGTGTCTTCCAGCCTCAAACATCCTGTGATTCTGTGTGTCCAAATATGGATGGATGTAAGGCATGATGTGTCCAGCAGCTTTATTTTAGGGAACAATAACTCAGTGTTCATCTTTAGCTAAACAGTTTCATGCAGTGTCTTGAATGCTGGTAGGAAAAATCAGTTTTCAATGATCTATTGATGTTGGGCAAACCAAGCTCTCAACCTGAAAGGAGATCAGTGTGATTCCTAGAGGAAGACCTCTCTCCAAGTATAGGCTGAAGATAATCAGAGAGAGGGAAAGTTCAGGCCAAAATTCTGATTACTGTTCCTGATTTGGCCTTGTCACACTGGAGCTGTTGTGTAAAGGAAGCTAGAGAAGGATTGTGACCTCCCCTTGAAAGCTGAGTTCAGCTACAGGAGAGTGCAGTGGCCTAGGGTATATGGCAATCTCCAGAGTGGCCTGTGCTCAAAGCTGGCAGCAAAACAGCCCACAGATCATGGGACAGCAGCAACCCTAAGTGCTGTGACCCCACAGATGGCTCCTATAGCAGCCAAGCTGCCAGAGGTACGGGCTGCAATAGCTGAAAGGATGAGGTGGTCAATGATAATAGGTTATGCGTGTTCATGGACTGATCAAGTTCCAGCTGGGGACTGGACAGCCCCAGGGGTGCAGGATAAAGATGGGGAAAGAAGTCCTTGAAAGTGCAGGAAATCCTCAAACTTGAGTAATTCCTCCAGAAGCATTAATCTTGTCCCATGGCTCTAAATTCATATCAGGTAACTTAGAAAGCAGTTTTCTTCCTGAGATAGCAATGAAAATTCTGTGGATGTCTTCCATTGCAGTAAAGCAATTTTGATGATGTGCAAGTCATAATGGCCCAATTAATCAATATCAGTAGAAAGTGATTACCAAAATTTTAACTCTGCATCTGTCCATCTGTCTGTCTGTTAATGGGA